TCAATGACCCCCCCCCCCCCCCCCCCCCCCAATCCTCCCCGTTACCCGGCACTCCATAATCATGTCATTTATTAAGAGTTCTGTTCTCCAAAGCTGCCCCGGCTTTATGAAAATTGGATCATGTCATGCAGAAAAGGGTTCCAGGGCCATTTATTTAGGAGTCGATTATTTCCAACAGATCATGCTGAGACAATACACTTTGGCAAGGGGGGGCAGGGTTTTGAAAAAAAAAAAAGCAAGCAAATTAATATAAACACTGGTGCCAGCAATGTGTTTTCATGAGAGACTCTTTTAGGCTCCCAGGCCATAGGTATATTGTGTTTTGTGCAGATGTGGGGGTGTATTTAACAGGTCTGGTAAGACACACATATTTACACACCGGATAGGTGTGCCTTTATTTTACATGCATATAGACAATTGCACTAAAAAGAATGTATGTGCATATATGTAACACAAATACTATACCAAGAGATACATATTTAATCAGCAGACTAGTGTATAGCTGTATATGTATGTGTAACTGTATTTGATTGTGTGTGTGTATTTGTGTGTATAAACAATCATATACAGTTGTACATACAGACACATAAAGCGCTGTACACAAGCCTGTTTATTACATATGTGTCGCTTTTGGTACGGGGGACGGGATAGCTCAGTGTTTTGATCATTGCCCTGCTAAACCAGGGTTATGAGTTCAATCCTTGTGGAGGCCATTTAGGAATCTGGGGCAAATCTGTCAGGGATGCTACTTGGTCCTGCTGGGAAAACAGGGGATTGGATGTAATGACCTTTCAAGGTCCCTTCCACTTCTAGGAGATAAGTATATCTCCATTCATATATAGTATTTATGTTATATATGCACATATGTTTCATTAGTGCAACTATCTATATGCACGTAAAATGAAGGTGCACGGACACACACATATTGGTGCAATTGTATGATATTCCTTTTTTCTATCTAGCTATTGAGCGACAAATAAATGGTTATGTCTGAATTTCTTGACTATTGATTAAAATAGGCTGCAGTCGTTGTGCACAGCTGTTAGTAACTACATGCCTTCAATGCTTCAGCCACCTTCAGCCAGGTACAATTCACGTGCTGCCTTTCGCAACACTGTGATGGCACTGAGAAGAAATGCAGGCCTACATCAACTGTGCACCGCTCGGTCTTCCTAGCGGTCCAGATCCGCCAGGCTTTGTTCAAGCCACACTCCCTGGGAAGGGGTCGCTTGCCTACAGACTGAATAGGCTGCCCACTCCAACCATAGTAGCATGTTCAAGGCCTGCATTTCTCCACCTTCGGACAAGAGTATTCAGGCTGCTGGCTTCGCTGGTCGGGGAAGGGGAGGGTTACAGACGCAGAGCGCGATACCTGTGCTCGGGGAGCTGGTTTTCTGCTTGGAGTTTTGTCTCGATTCTTTCATCCAAGGGAAAATCTGTTTGGCGAGAGTCGCGTTGGAGCTGAGATTTGATTTGCTGGGGGCAGGTTTGCTGCTCCCTGACTGGCTATTGCTGTTGCTGTTGGCGACAGAGTTTGGGGGTGGCGAGACAGGTGCGGCTTGCTGATGCTCGCGGGGCAAACTGGGACGCATGCAGCTTCCATTTAGGTCTTTACTCTTGGCATGGGGGGCAGTGTTGCCAAGAGACTGGAGGGAGCAGGCGGACCTCTGGTAGTCATTCTCCACGTGAGAAGGCTGGAAGGGCTGTTGAGGGCCCTCATAGCCAAACCCATTAGCGCCCTGGTAGGAGTAGCCTCCAAACAACGTCGAACTGTCGTAGTATGTTGTTTTCTGCATCTCTGGGCTTCCCCGCGAATATTTTCACCGACTACCGGGGTCTTAAAACCCTGATGGAAGAACATTGGCCCCCCCAAGGTCACGTGACAGTCCGTTTCCAGTTGTCTCTTGGAAGCTGACCTGAAAGGTTAGAAGAAACACACAATACTAGTGGCCTGGCTATGAATCCATCTTAGGTCGTGAAAAGCGCATGACATGAATAGGGTCCTACAGAACAGGGCTAGCAGATGCTTTGAACAGATTTGCCCTGGGTTCCTCCTCCCGAGGCCCGTGAACTATTTTAAAGTGTATTTTTTAAAGTCAGTATGGGGTTTTTTTCTCCCCAGCATTGTACCGTGCATGCTTAAATCTGTCTAAACTCAGGTGATTTCACAGGCATGCGGACATATAAACACACACACATTAATACACGAATAAAAACACAGAATGGATCACTGCTGACTACAAACCTGAACCGATTATAACTCCTGCCTTTTACCCGCACTACCCTCCAGCTCATGCAATAAATAGTGCCCAGGAATTTAAAAAAAAAGCAAGTTTTTTTATATGCGCCCAGAAACGAAAGATTGGAGGATCAGACACTATTAAGTTATGCTGCTTTCTTGTAGGACTGCTTCACCTAACGTGTGATTTGAAACCAGAAATAATCTCTGTATTTTATCCTTTTGACTCGTGTAGTTTGATTTGCTGCTTTCACAGGGAACACACGTTGTCTTTGCAATTCTGGAGCAAACACTTGAAAGAAATATTGGGACATCCATTTAAAAAGAAGTGTTTCCTTTGGTCTATTTGTTGCATTTTTGAACCACGGACAGATTGTATTTAGGAAAGATTCCCTTTTCACTCCTCACCCCCATTTCTTAAAAATCTTGAATCTGGAACTGCCGTTGAAAAAGATTTGCTTCCCAACCCAGATTCATTGTGGTTTGGTTTGGTTTTTAAAAAACAATTTTCTCGCCAGGCCATTTGGTTTTAGTTTTCTATCCCTTCGACTTTTCATTATCCTCCCCCCTCCTCCGTTCCGCCCCTTCTGTTTTGGTTTCCTTTCTTATCCAAGCCCCAAAAGTTCCACAAAAACCGGAAAAACCAGCCTCTTTTTCCCCAAAGCATGAACTTTCTCTACCTGGGATGGGGGAACCCCAAGAAGAATAGACACTGATCAAAACATAATTTGGTGTCTGGGAGATTAACCGAGCAGCAAACTTATTTTAAAAACCTTGTGGGTGTTCCCCATTGCTTCTCTCATTTTGTTTTGATGTTTATATCTATTTTTAATTTTAATTTTATCAGGACTATTTTCACTTTTTAAAAAAAATAAACAGCATTGAAAAAAGCCGGGTGCGATATTTTAAAATACAAATGCTGTTAACACAATGTACGGATGTACTGTAAATAACACTTCAATTTTCTTCCCTCTCCCGACTTTTTGTGTGTTTGTGGTTATGTCAAACGAGCCCTCACTGCGCTTCAAACACCACAGTCGGAGCCAATACACACATGTAAAATTGATTTAGCTTTTATACACGAATTCAGCCCTTCCTCCATTCCCAAATCGGCGTGAGAGCTTTCTCGGAGCTTATGTTCTTTCTTTCTTTCTTTATTTTGTCGACAAAGGAGGCTGGAATAATTTTTCTGGGAATTATTGCAGGAGGGGATCTTGTTTGATTTCCTTCGGGCGATAAATATTAAAAAGTAGGTTCCTCTCCGCGAGCTGAAGAGCTGTGAATTAATTAACAAGCAGCAGTACATTTATTATGAATAGGGTGGCTGAAATTGACTAGGCGTGCAAAAAGGTGGAAATCTCTATAAGGCCTTCCTGGGGTTTTTTTTACACGGCTTTCCTTGGGGGGAAAAAATCTTCCCCCTCCCCTCTCTCTCTTTTAAACTGCCTGGGAGGCGTACCAAAAGCAGGTAAAAAGAACGGTGGTGATTTTAAATAAATACAATACATCTACCGCCTTCCCCACCTAAAATCGAAGCTAGCTGGGAGCGTCCAAGGAAAAAATTTGCTTTTGGAGCTCATCTCTCAACGCGTCACAAATGCCGGTCATTTATCTTCCCGAAGACGGCCGGAATCCTAATTATTTACTCCAAGGAATTGTGTGGGTTTTTTTTAAATCTCAGGCAGAATAATAAATATTAGATTATATAGTGTTCCAATTAACTAGCGGAGGCTCAACTCGGATACGGTTCCCAGTCTTCCAAGTTTCGCGTGGGGGAGCGATGGCAGCATTAAAGACTGCCTGGGAACTTTTACTGCGGAAGATTTAGAGGCGATTCACAAAAAACCAATAACAACAACAGCTGAAATATGCAGAGGAAGAAGGGGAAAGGATCTAAGTCGGAAGGCCTCTGGGAAGGACGGGTGAGTGGACGGGACGAGATCTACGCCTTTTATTTCCCTGTAAAGCGATTCCCTCCATGTTGGAAATCCTAAATTCAGAACCTGACTCTGTTTAGGAAGAAGAGCCGCTCTTTCCGCCCCTCCCCCGCCGGAGGGATATTTCACAGACCACGCAAAAGAAAGAATCAACCCGGGGTTTGTTTTTTGGTCAAAATAAGAAATCTATCGACACGTCCCTTAACAATAGCCTGGCTCAGAGAGGCACCTCAAATTCCAGAGACTGCCTCGCGAGGACTCTGTCTGGGAAATAAGAAACACATTCCTAAAATTTCCCTCCCCCCGCCCGCCGCCGCCGATTATCAACCCCAAGCAGCACCCCCCCAGTTGAAAAGCAGGGGGGAAAAGCAAGGCCCCCTCGCTTGGAGGCTGCGAAACAGTCGCTGCGTGGAAGGAAGCTTAAAGCTTGTGAACTCTTCTTGAACCGAGATTGGAGTCATATGGTCATAAATCATTGGGACACATACACTCCGCCATTCACAAAGTGATAGCCTATTTGAGTTCGGCTTACCTTAGTCTCTGACGAGCAAAGTACAGGCAGACATGATCTATTTTCACATCCAGCACCAAAGCAATCAATAAGCCAGCAATGCCACCCCTCTTCCTTGTGGAAAAAAAAATTAAAGGAATATACAGATAGAGAGAGAAGAGTGTGTGTGTGTGGAAAAAAAAGAGAAATCCAGCAATAAACCCAAAGGAGGCTTTTCTGCTGCTCAAAATCTCTCTCTCTCTCTCTCTCTCTCTCTCTCTCACTCACTCTCTCCGTTTGGGGAGGGGGGAAAACCCCCAGAGCAAGATGCTTTACAGCTTCCTCGATGGGTAAGGAAGCTAGGGGAGCTTTCACTGGACAGATCCTAAGGTTCTTGCTGCCCTACAGACTGATACGCCCTGCTCGCTGCTAACAATGGCTACGGGCGACGGGGAAAGGAGGGAAGGAGGGAAAAAAAAGAAAGAAAGAAAGAAATCCTTCTCGCGACCCCTTTCCCTGGGCACGGCCGGGCGAGGATTCAAAACAACAATAATAATAATAATCGTTCTAATAAGGCTCCGGGAGAGGGGGGGAGGGGAAAATAGAGCTAGGATTTTTTTTTAAGAGAAATAAATAAATAAATAAATGGAAAAGATTTGCTTTGGAGCGCCGGGCAAAGCCAACAGCCTTTCCAAACAGCGTCACTAGTGAAAAATTATGCTAATTGCAGACGTGGTGGACCGAGGCCTAGACGGAAAGATAGCAAAGCTCCCCTTCGGTTCACGTGTTTAACAATTTGGTGTCAATTTATGCTAATAAACCCTTCCCACGTCGCCCTACCCTTCCCTTCCCCCCACACCCCGTCTCAGGGAGAATTCTCCTTGTCTCTCCCGGCCACTGGCTCTACCTCCGAAGAGTCCCTAAAATGGAATAATTAGGAAATACACTTCTTAGGGGTGGGGCCAAGGAGGGTATCACCCGCTAGATGGGAAACTGGTTTTTTTAAGAGAGAGGAGACGGGTGGGGGCAAGGGAGGGGGGAGTGAGTCCGTGGTGTGGCTTCAACCCAAAGCCTACAGCTGGGGGGGGGGGGACTTTAATATTAAGTCTGCGTGTCAAAAGTTCTGTGAGCGATGGTTACCTTTCCTCCCCCACCGCACCTCCTGTAGCCGGGCAGTGGAGAGGAGGGTGGGATCTGCACTTCTAAAGGGGCAGGGAGTAAAATCGCAGGGGGGAGGCGAAGTCGGGTAGGTGTTGAACAATAAAGGTGGGGAGGGGGGTTGTGAATAGGAAGATGCGCCCAGACGCTGCTGTTCTCACTAGGTATGCTTCCTGGAGCAGGCACAATTGCCGCTCCAAGCCGGAACTTTCCCCAGCTGCTTTCGGGCGAAGGTGCAAGATTGCAAAGGGGGTGGTGGGAGGAAAAATGTAGCTGTCTGCACTTTCCCCCCCTCCGCTGGTTTTGTTCCAGTTTGCACTGGTGTGCTCGCCTTTCATTCGCGCCCCCGGCGCCTCTGGGTGAAGTGCTGAATAGGGAATTTCAAGCTGGCCACGAAAGCTGCTTGCACCCCGCTCGGAAGGGGGGACCCGTGTGCGCTGCTGGCAGCACCTTTGGAGAAGGGCCCATGGCGAAGGGAGCCAAATCCAGAGTTCGCCACAACTTACTTTCGGGATGGGTCTGGTGGAAAGGACGGTCCAGGTGCCGGCTGCTAAGGGGCAAAGTGTTCCCACCTCTTGTTCTAACAGCAGTTTTCAGACCTGAGTTGTGAGCTGGATCCTCAGCGTCTCATTTTTCACTGTGAGATTCCCCTCCCCCCTTCTCTATCTGACTTTTTAAGACCTACTTGGACATACGTCTTCAGCCAGAGAAGAGAGCCTATTTTGGAACACCCGCCTTGCAGCGCGGCATGGAGAAGTCACCAATAGTATTTATGGATTATTCTTTTTAAAAACCCCTCCTAGAAAAAACAAATACTCGGTAGATTTTCGCAGATGGGATCTCCAATGATTAATAATCGAGTATCTAGAATATCAGACCAGAGTCTGCCCGGGGCTCTGCAAAGAACTTTTCTGAAGTACCAACTTTGTGTTCTTTTTTAAATGACTGGAGAACTTTTTTTAAAAAAAATCATGCCAAGATGTATTTCTATACACTGAGTGTCTAGTAAGTAGATATTAGGTTTAATATCGCCTTGCATTTCTGCTTATACGTTTTGTTGCCGTTTGGGGGAAGGGGGTTAAACTTCACAAGTTCAGCACCGAATTTTGCAGTCCTGGTCCTTTTAGACTTCCCTTCAAAAGGAAACCAGAAAATATTCTCCATTTACAATGTCCACCCAAAATTATAACCAGAAATGACCAAATGTAAAGACAAGCCAGTAGCAAATCGAAAATACTTCACAGAAAAGGTAAGGCACAAAATCGTCATTATAAATCTGGTGAAAGGCAAACAACTTGTCTCTCATTTAAAAAATGAATGGTTTCCAGTTCTAAGAGTTTTATTTTATTTTATTTTATTTTATTATGACCAGGGGCATCACGTTTAAGAACACTCACCAATTCTCAGTTGTCTGGCCCAGCACAAATGAAGCAGCGCAGCAGTTTGAGAAAGAAAGAGAACTGTAAAATAGAAAATTGACAAAACTTCCATCATAAAGATATGGGGAAACCAACTTATTACACGTTGATTCCCGTATCTATGGGGGAATCGTTTTTAATGGACAAAAATTAAATAGATACTTTAAAAAAATCCACTGCTCCATCTGAGGCATTTTCTCAATAACGTAACCAAAGAAGACCTTTCATAAGCGTTTTTAGCATGTTTCAAAAGTTGTTTCACACACCCACACACACCATCAAGATGAAGGATTGGTATCATGCAGACATGCAAATAAGCATTTATAATTGGACTCATATATATGGCTCTCTAACATTTGGATAGCATTAGAATATTGGAAACCCTCTTCGAAGGAAATTGATCAGCTTTGCATCCGAATAGTTTGCAGCTGAAATGATCTGCAGTGAAATGTAAACATATTTCTCCTGTTGGTGAATTCTGGTTTGAAACAAATAATAAAAAACGCTGGTTTGCAATCCACCTTTTACCTCTTTTTGTAGTTTTGAGTTACAGGCTGCTGGTCATTCCGGGTTAAGTGCGTTTTAAAAAATGAAATGTATCGAGTTAATTAGGGAAGGCTTGTCGATTTCACTGGGAGACAACAAAAGCTTAAATATCTCCAGCTCTTTTCCTAGGGAGTCAATTTGCCCACTCTCCTGCACGAGCCCCATAAAAAGTAGCTGCTTTATGTGACGTGTAGCTAACATTTACCCAAAAGTTATTCGATGAAAGGATTAACGATCCCAGTTTAAACCTTTTTAAAACTACACGGAGATTTCTCCCTGGAACCCCGACGCGATTGGATTGGGAGACAAAGCGGAGGGGGGGGGGACTCATTTAAAGTTATTTTCGTTTTGGGAACCCTTCCCTCGCTGTAATAATCCTGTTTCCGTTCTGTCTGTGGATGTTATGAATCTCAAATCAAACGTTCTTCACCCTTCTTGTGACAACATTCCTGGAACACAAATCACACGCGGCCTGCCTCCTCTCTGGTCTGCGGCCTATGGCAATAATTTATGACGAGGATGACTATTATTACACATACACGCACCCACTTTAATACACAACATTGGCTATAGCCCATTGACATCACAGCCTTACCAGGTTCACTTGGGTTTTTAATTCCCTCTGTAGATTATAAATAAAGATAAAGCAAACCCCACCACCCTTTATGTGCTATGCACCCAGCGCACCAAATATGTCTCTGTAAAAGTCCCACCCACATGAGGAGCTGGGAAAGAAGGAGGAGTGGAGAGGGGGAACGGAACAAAAGGAGTTGGGGAGAGGAGGAAAACAGCATTTATTGGGAGTGAATAGCAAAAGCAGGGGAAATAGAAACAAAATAAATAAAGGCTCCGAGAAAGATTTTCAGTGAAGCCCGCCAAAGGCAGCCAAGGTTTTGGCTACACGTTGAAGGATCCGTATTAAATGAAAACCTCCACTCCTCCCCGCTTTACCTCGCTGCTAACAATAGGCTCATGTATTATGTATCATTATTAAAAGATATTCGTGGTGAATTATGGGTATTCTCAAATTAAGCACTATAATCTTAATAGGAACATTTATCTTTCTAGGAAGGTAGGTAGGTAGGTAGGCTAGATAGATAGATAGATGAGGTGTACGGGGCTAGATAGATAAATAGATAGATAGAGATAGAATGGCAGAGAGATCGACGCGGCAAGATTCTCCTTCCGTTTCCTTTTATTTACTTTGTAATAGGATTTCAATAGGCAAATTATGGAGGCCTTTCCACCACCCACTACCTCTCATAAGAAGATGAGGGGTGCGAATGCTAAGGTCGAAGAGGGAAGGATGAGGTAGATACTAGAAAATCTCTCTCTCTCTCTCTCTCTCTCTTTCTCAATCTCTCTCTCTCCACAGAAGCCAACTCCGGATAAGAAATCAAAATGAAACCGAGTGTGCGGTGTCTTTGAGAGATTAGCTCTCTTTCTCCTCGTGACCTTTGCTTACAAGAGTAATAACTCACCGGGTTAATGATCAATCAACGGAAGTGCTTTGGAATTGCCTCCTAAATACCAAACAACCACAAAACCCGGGCTCCCACTATTCCTGGCTGGATGGGGGGCGAGGGGGAGAGGGAGGTTCCCAACCCCCTGAGGTCCTCTTCTCTTCTGTACATTCTTGCTCGCCAAAAATGTTCAGGCCATACATTTTGCTACAGTGTCATTTTGGTTTCTTTCGGAGTGGGGGAGGGGCAACGGCACCGGAGTGCTGTAAATAGCTATTTAGGAAGCCAGGGACCAGAGAGTCCGAAGAACTGTCCCCTCACCCACTCCCCTCCTTCTAAATGCCAAAATAATGACTTGAATTATACGCTCACGTGACTGGTAAACGTCAACCTTTTACCAGTTTCATACAGAATTGTTCAACGACCCCTCCCTCCTCCCCCTCATGGTTCCCCCTTTCCAAAGACTTCTCTGAACTTAAATAAGAGTTACCAAGAGCAGTCCCTCTACCCCCCTGCCCGAGTTAGTCCCCTCAGATGTGGTGTGTTGATTTTTTTTCAGTCCTCCGAGCAGAAGGAGGAAAAAACATAGGTGCGAAGTGTTTGCCACAACCACACACTTCCAGAGCCTCAGCTCCGACCCAAAAGCCAGAAGAGGTGGAAGGAACTAGGGAACTAGAGGGGCTGGACCTGTTTGCTGTGCACACAAGGAAGGAAGGAAGGAAAGAGAGAGGGGAGGGAGAGAGGGAGGAAATGAAGGAAGGAAGGAAGGAAGGAAGGAAGGGAGGGAGGGAGGGAATGGCTAAAGGAGTATGATTTCTGCACTCCAAGCTCCGAAGACCTCGCCTTTCAATCTGCTGCTGCTAACCTGCTTCTGCGCTTGACTCCAGAGAGACCCTGCGGGCTGGCGTGGCTGCGGGAGCAGGTAACCGCCCACGCGGCCTCTTGCCCCCAGTGGATTTACAATTAAAACCTGGACTGAGGCCGTGGCGGGCTCCCAGGCGCGGGTTCGACATGGGCTGCCCCTATGAGCTCCGGCTCCCCGGATTTCACGGCCCTTTAAAACAATCTGGAGAGAAAATGAGAATTCCCCCCCCCCCCCCCCCCCCCTCATGCAAAATTCCGTTCCACCCCCCC